CGAACTATTGTCTTTAGTACTGTGAAGGTCATTTGCCTCAAAAGCTCTTCGTTTTTTGCTAAGGGAGTGCTATCTCCGTAAATATTGCATTCTTTAAAAAAAGAAAAAAATTGACTCAAGTAGTAAACAATTGTAAACAACAATCTGAAAAAATTTGTTAAAATAATACAGTTGTGAAGACTATACTACAGGGTCGGAAAGTCCCCATGGTTCATCGGTCGTTACGTGAGAGCGATAAAGAAAGTCATAGAAATCCGTGCGATAAAGAAAGATGGCTATAATGAAAACGTCTAATAGTCACCGCTCATTTCGCCCTTCCACAAATAAGATCCACTTCTTATTTATGGAAGGGCGAAATGGGCGGTGACTATTAGACGCTTTCATTATAGCCATCTTTCTCTATCGCACGGATTTCTATGACTTTCTTTATCGCTCTCACGTAACGACCGATGAATCATGGGGACTTTCCGACCCTGTATATAGTATACCCTGCATCGGACCGTGAACGTAATTGACCATTCCGATACTGTTTTTAAGAATATCATATTTATAACTGTATTATTTTAAAAACTGTTTTCAGATTGTTGTTTACAGTTATTTACTACCTAGGTATGTCAGTTTTTTTCTTTTTTTATAGAACGCAATATTTACGGAGATAGCACTCCCTTCTGTTTTGCTTAAAAATTAAAAAAAGCTTTTGAGACCAACGACCTTCACAGTACTAAAGACAATAGTTCGACTTATCGTCAGTAAAAATTTAGATTTTTTTTTTATCAATTAACAAAAAAATTACGACGAGTTAAAGTGAGAGGTATCAATTTTGTAGGCAGAAAACCGTGATTTTTTCAACATTTTCATTAAGAACTAAAAAATGGGATAACGAAACTAACTGAAATTTTAGCACACAATAGAGTAATAGTGACGCTATATGGTCCAAATTTCAATTTTTTTTTGCTCCTACGTTTTCTTAATATTGGTTTCCAATCTCAGGGGTCTATTTAATTTATTTCTATAGTAGTGGTGTCCAAAAAACTGCTGGATACTTTTCTCAAATTTAAACAGCAATAACTTGGTTATTTTAATAGGACACCCAGTATATTTTTACTATGGAGTTAGGAAATTTAGAACTCTTTCAAACTGTGTATAGGTTCCTTATACCTATCTCTAACGGTATTGGAGATAATTTTTAATTTTTTATAGAATTTTTTTGTAAGATGTATCCACGTGTCTTTATCGAGGTCGAAGTTCGTCATAGAGCTTGTAGAACTGTACTTTATGACAAATTCCACTGTATTTGAAAAAATTGTTTCTAGACAAATCATAAGAAATTTTTTCGCCATATACATATAACGTAGAATCTACCATTTAACATATTACCTGAAAATGGTTCTCAAACTCTATTCAGTTTATAATATAACTTGTTGCCACTGAAAATGGCGAATAAACTAGCTAAAGTGATTGAAAAAAATCGCGAAATAGTAGAAAACTATTGGAATTTTAGTATTTTTAAATTTTATGTTTATCACAATTTTTATCTACTTAAATACGCTTTCCTGCGCAAGTAAAACATTCTCATTACGGCCCTGATCAACGAATGGAACTGCTGCTTTACATATGCTGCGACAAAACTGGAAAATAAAACATATTTTACAGTTTCAAAATAATGTATACATCTATCAATCGAACTAAAAGCTTTAGGAATTTAATGATTAACATAACACTTGCTCCTCTGTCGCTATTGTTACATTCATTTCATTGTTTGCGTTCAGTGTCGTAATAAGAATTTTTAAGGTGTAAAAACGCACACATGCATTATCACTTTCACTCTATCTGAAAGCCTTAAAACGTAAAATAAATCTTTTATACGAATCCAGAAAGAAACATAAAGCACGCGTAAAAGCTAACGTGCTTTTATGTGCGGTATAAAAAACTCCAGGAAATAGTTACGTGCGCAATATTGTCCTTACATAACTTTCATGTGGTGTAGTTGTATCGGGTTATAAATTCCAGTTTTGTGTCCATACAAACTTATAATTTTAATTATTTCAGATAATACTATTAAAACCAAATAAAAATGTGTGCCGTAAAGCAGTGCCGTACTATTTTATTTAGAAAAATATGCCACCGATACCCTGTATCTCCGCCAATGGAGCATCTATGTTTTAGGAAAAGGCCTCAGATTTTGGAAGATGTTTATTTCACTTACTACTCTTTAAACTATTTAAAATAATTAAAATCATTTTTTTAAATTTAACACCCTGTATCTTTTTAACGAAGCGTCCTAGATAAAAACTTTACACGAAATACTCCCTTTGAAATTCACCAAAGAATACGAAGTTTCATTTTTGGTCACCATTTGCAAACTACCCTGTGTTTCCTTGTTTAAAAGATATTTGCCTGTAGAACATTTTTTTACATCCTCTACACACTGTATCTCAAAAGCTGAAGTTTTAAGGGCAAATAATTATATAAAAACATATTTTTAAAGTCGCGCTCCATATTTGTCAAAAATTACATAAAAAAAACGATACCTTTTCTTGTACATTTATTGATCCACAAATATACTGATCACTGCTCTGACAGAAGTAATTAATTCTTCAATCATCGATTCACAAAGTTGTATACATCATATTTTTATGCTTCCCACAACGTGTGGAAATAGCTTAATAAACAGTAGCAAATATTCCACAGAGAAACTAATACTGCAGATTCTGTGGTTTATACAAGTAATTAAAAGTTAAATAGTTTCCTTGTTAAAATGTAGTAATAGATTTCTCTTTATTAAAAAAATACAAATACATTTTAAATCTAAACCATAATAAATACAACCTTAAGTTTATTTTAGTACGTTACTTCTATTTATGTTTTACTTATTGCGTCAAATATCAAAATAGCCATTACACCGAAATGGAAAAATGGCAGGAGTTGTTGCATTTTATTTTTATATGTAAATTTAGAAATGAATAGATTTTGCTAAAAATTCGTACAGAGTGAGATTTTGACACTAACACAATCTTTCAAAATTTGGCCGAAAAAAACGTAGCAAATTTCTAGACTTTATTAAAAAAAATTGACCTTCATTTGTTTTTTACTTATTATGTTAATGACTTTTATATCTATAAATTGGAACGCTCTGTATGCATCCGACTACAACCTCCCGAATTCTAGTAGTTCGGCAACCAGCAGAACGCAGGTTTTTGATTTATTTTCCATGCAGTGACGCTAGATTTGGGAATTTCTCCCTTGATCTAGGGAAAAATTCTTCAACCTTGTGAAATTACGGAAATAAGGAATTTGTGTATGATATTTAGTGATTTTGTGGACAATAAGTATTTCGGACTTTAGCTGCGTTTTATTTATCTGAGATCTCATTTAATTTCAGTTATTCTGAATGTTTGGTCAAGTAAGTGAAATTAATGTGGATGTGGATCTTAGATACATAAAATATAGCTTATAATAAATGTTTCTTTTCAATGTGAAAATATGGCAAATCAGTGAAAATTTAATTGTTTTTTAAATTCATATTCAAAAAGTATACGTCACAATTAATTAATGTGCAAAAATACAGATTTTTTTTCAACAATTTCTCCCTCAAAATAAAGAATGCACGCAAAACGTAAGGAACCCATGTTGTGACGTCATACCACTCGTTAGCGGCTAGCCCATAGTTGGCTGGGTTCGACACGAATCATATGGTATTATTTAGATATGGAAGAAGACAAAAATAAATTTAAACTAACAGGCTTAAAAAACGAAAGATTGTAAATTTTTATAATATATTTTTCGAATAGTTAATTAAAATTGTAGATCCTGGTACATGAAGGGAATAAAAGCCAATAAATTAATTGTTCAGGAGAGGAAATTGTTAAGTTAACATTTTTGCTTTCATATCGTTTGTAGAATTAAGTGTTACATTCGCATATAAGTTAAATTAAAAATATACACAAAAAATCATATACGATTTATTATGATGAATTTATGATTCAAACTTGAGATGTTACTTTTTATTTTTAAATTTACTCGTGGATTTTAACTTCTCATAAGTTCAGTTTCTGTAAAGCCCACCACAGATTCTCCATTTGCACCAGACGAACAGAGAACATTTTTAAATCTAGGAGTATATCTGCAGAAATATCACTTTTCAAAATAAATGAACTTGTCCCGACTTGTCTTTAATTGAAGTGTGTATCTTTTACTTGTCTGTTTTTTCCGAGTGCGATTTTTGGCTAGGCAAAAATAGTTTTAAAAAAATAACTTTGGGCTGATCCTTTTCCCACAAATGTTTCTTTAATTATTTTTAAATTCATTCCAGTGGTAGACAAATACCTATAAACAGAAAAAAAACTAAAATTATACCACAATTGAAGTATTTGAGGCAATATTAAATAGCGAACGAGCCAGTCGAGTGGTATGACGTCACAATTGCTTTGCGGATAGCTTGGAGCGTATAAAATTGACCTGAATTTTTCACCACTTGTTTAGGGGGTTGCGATAAATGTAAAATTAAGTTATATATTAAATATTACTGAATAGTTACAGTATCAACAAATTTTGTTTTTAGGAGTCAATTTTTTGCAATTTATCCATCCTCTTTATGAATTTGCATAGCTAAAAACATTAAATTTATAAAGTTTACTAGGGAATCCTAGGGAATTTATGTTTATCATCTATTTGGGTATTTCCAAATTTAATTGGAACTGGTATCACTGGTTCCATATGGACAGTGGTTCCCAAAATGTCAATGTGACGGATTCAAAAAGAATCTTACATCCGAAAATATTTGTAATTATGAGAATGACTCACTATACTCATTTTCATCCCAAATTATTTCCGTAGTTACAACAGCATGTACATATTTAAGGTTCGCCCTGTATAGGAAGTCCAAAAATAATTCAGTCTTCAATCACTAAATCTCTGAAGCTCGCATAATTCGCGTATAATATCTAAGCACTATTATTAGACATATGTACTTATTAAGTTGTATTTTTATTATGTTGCAGAACGAGATGGCAAGGCATTTAGTTTTTTTATTAACCTCATGGCTCGTGAGTGCATGCGCATCGTACGAGGTAAGTGAAGTACCTTCACGGTTATTTTTATTCCCACAAGTAATGTCAATTAATGGTCTTCGGGTTTTATGGCGAAGCCCATAACTTCTCACCTCACAGCCTTTTGTTTGGCGTTGCTTGTTTGCGCTGCTGGAAGGCTTCATTCCCGACATTTTAGTTGAGAAAATGCTCCTTTGTATACAATGTGGCCCATTTCAAGTGGAAGCGCCCTTGTAAGAGAGTTTGTTTATTGTCCGATTTAATTCGGGTGTTTCTTTAAAGATGGAGGGGAGGATGGAAAAAGTCTATTAAATCACGTGATTTGAATTTCTTTTCAATTTTTTTCCATGTCAAATTTGACAGAAACTGCATTTTGGAACAAACTACAGAGAGAAGGTGAAAAAATCCAGTGGCGTAGTCAGATTTTAAATAAAAAAATGATTAACAAAAAAAAAGAATATAAAAAGTAGGTTTTGATAACTGAAAATATCTTAAAAAAAACGGATTCAATAGATAAATAAATACATTTTTTTACGAGGGTGTTTTCATTTGAAATGTTTCACACTGTATGAGGCATAACGTCGTATGTTACGAGTTTGACTTATGAACTCGCGACCAATTGTTATTTATAACACTGCGCAGCACTGAATAAAAGTCAGTTTTATTTGAAAATAGTTCATTTTATGGATATGAAACAAGACGACATATTTTGCAGTAAAATACATAGGTATAACAGTTACAGGGTGTGGTAGGAAAAGAAAATTTTTAACTGGCTGAGCGACCCTGCTGAACCATTTTTCGAGAGATGTATCGTTCTCTTTTTTTGTTTATTTTTTAGATATTTAATACGACCATATAGGGTGGGCGTTTTTTTTCAAAAATCGGGACTTAAAATTAAGTAAAAATTACACAGAACAAAAGCCTAAATTTGTGTATTTGTAGAGGTCGAGCGTCATATTGTTTATAACAAAAGAAATAAAACAATTGGTCTTTTTTTCAGTTTTTCGCTTATATCTCCGAAAATAAGCTCTAATCGACATAAAATATACTTATCGATTTTGTTCCTGAGGAAATTTGCCAAGGGTAGGCTTTTGCGAAAGCTCGCAAAATTTTTTAACATTGCAAAATTAACAGTGTAAAACAAAGTGCAAAATTTTCAGAATTAAATAAAACGAACAAATTTGACTGGAATTAGATGAAACTACGGTGGGGTGCTCAACAAATACCCGCAATCTCTGCAAAATTTTCATTTCATGAAATGTGGTTAATAGTCCAATTAAATTAGCCTTTAAATTGCAATTAGGTCAACTTGCCTCAATTTTTGATATAAGTTAGGTTAGGGTATATAATAACAATAAGTGGGGGGTTTTTCAATATAACTCAAAAGGGGTAAGAGCTAGAAAAAAAGTTTATTATAAAAGTTGTAGAGCATAAAATTCTACATAAAAATGGTATACTGACTTTTGTATACCAATAAAATTAACAGAGTTAGGGAGACTAGAAGCTATGGGATGATTTCAGAAATTTAAAAAAATCATAACAAGCAAAAAATGAATGAATTTCATAATTTTTTTTTCAATCTACTCTAAAAAATGTAAACTTTCTGTTCAGAGAAATAGATATATTTATTAATTTTTAATAAAAAAGTTAAAACAATTAAAATTTTTTAATCGTTCATTTTTATGATTTAACACTAAAACAATTTATTTCTATGCCATTCGATCGATTATTTAAAATAAAAAAAAGTTGCTTTCGAAATTTTATTTTATGACAAAGATAAAGAATCACGTTCGTTTTGTGAAATTGTTATACCTTTTTTATTAAAAATTAAAAAATATATCTATTTCTCTAAAAAGATAGGTTATATTTTTAAGAGTAAATTGGTAAAAAAAATTATAAAATTTATTAATTTTTCCACTTGTCATGATTTTTTAAATTTCTGAAATCATCCCTTAAATTCTAGTCTTCCTAACTCTGTTAATTTTAATAGTACAAGAAAAGTCAATACACCATTTTTATGTAGAATTTTATGCTCTACAACTTTTATAAGAAACATCTTTTTCTAGCTCTTACCCCTTTGTATGTTAGTTAACTTGAAAAACCCCTTTATTTTATCTTTTTTCACCCCTGATCGGGGGTTGAAAAAAGAATTACTGTCACTTATTGTTATTATATACCTCAAACTAACTTATATGAAAAATGCAGGAAAGTTGCCCAAAATTGCGATTTATAGGCCTATTTATTTAATTGGACTATAAAGTTGATTAATGTTTAATGTTTTGTTTGTAACGGTCCTTTTTTTAATATGTTAAAAATAAAATAAAGAAACTAATTTAATGAAATTGCTTTTTCTTGATACTTTTTTGAAAACGTCAAAAATGACATGAAATCATAGCGTATTAGTCGTTTTGTCCTATTCAAAATTTGAATCGAAATAGTAATGACGCTGTTTCACAAAATCCCGATTTTCCCGGAAACCGTTATTTTTTCGAAAAATTTGTAGGAGTACAAAAATGTTTAAAATTAAATTTCCTGTAATAATGGTAAAACTATTTAATAATTGGCATACTGATAAAAAAAATCGATATCATTTTAAGGGCGCCCTACCCCTAGCCCGGCCCTTATTGGGCTTCCGACAAATTCATATTTTTACCAATTAAAGACAATAATAAACAGAAATCATGTACTAAATTTGTTTGCTCTACATTAAGGCAATGCTGAAATATTATTGTTTTTCAAAATTTAACACTCATTTTCAGAGGCCAATATCCTAGAAAAAAATGTTACATAACAAATCGACATATTTTAAGATCCTTTATTACACATGTCTGCTCTGTGTCAGTAGAGTTATGAAACGCCCTGTATAATATTCAGCAACCTTCAATCAAACCTTTTACGATGACTAGCTACTGTAAAAAATTGTCGTTTTACAATGCATTAAAGATAACAATTTCGTTAACCACTTTATTCTTTCAAAGACTCGACAGACAAAGGTTGAGTGAGAAAACAGCAATTATTTGATTTTTTTTAGAAGGGAAGTGAAAAAGTGTAACGGGTTGAAAAAGGTTAGTTCCTCCAGATGACATGGAACTGACAAACAAAATTAGCAGTAACGGCTGCTTATTTGAGCAAATTGATTTAGACCAAGGGTACTTCCTGCAATTGTTGTTGACAGAAGAAATTGCAAGGTTATGTTGCCGCACACTTAATCTCGGTTTTTGTCGCAATCAATCAAATTCCGGTAAAGTCCGCAGAAAAAAGAAATCCGCATGAGATTGTACGTAACCTAACAGTTCTTATAGACCTTTTTTGATTTCTCACACTTATTAATAGAATATTTGCTACTGTATAAAAGGTAAAATAAACCCACGAGATAAAAAAACCGCACAGATTTCTATTTGTGATCGTTATCATTTGTTGCGACAGCAACAATTTTATACGTCAATGTATTTGCATTAATTTTTTTTTTGCTACAGATTTCTGTTGCGACAATACAGAACAAAAATTGATTTGATTAAGTAATACGCACTAGACTGACTTTGTCGTTAATAATTATAACACTTTATATTCCGTATATGGTACTACAATATTAACATCTAGTTAGGAGGTACTGATAAAATCTAAATGCGACAACTAAGCGAGATATAATTAGGCAATTAATGAAAGTGACTTAAGGACGCCGTTTTGTCGGAAAAAATGATATATATATTTTTTTCAAAAGTATATTAAAATTTATTATATTGGTATCTAAGATGTAACCGTCTTGAAATAATTTCTGCAATTTAATGCTATTTTGAGGTGTGTGGGGTGAGAAAACCGAGACAGTAGTAAAGGCTTCTGCCTAATATTCCAATAGTTTGGCAAAATATTATCGTCTATTATTGCGTTACCAAATTCTTTTTGCTGAAAAACAGGTTAACAAATCTTTCCTTCATAGTGATCTTTGTTTATTAAAACTCCAAAAATTTGAAAACAACCCATTTACTTATTTGCGTCAATGATTAAAATTGGGCTTAAAAAAAATGTTAAACAATAAAGGAAAAATTTTTTGCGCATGTTTACAAAATTACACGTGTTTATTATTAAGCAGATTAAAATACTGAAGTTAATTATTTATAATTTGATACAAAATGTTCCAATAAAAATTCCACCGTTTTTGAAGATGTTTTGAAATTTTTGCATTATGTTAATAGACCAGACTAAACACTTTTTGTTCTTTGACAAAAATTCGAAAAATGCTTCGTTACTGAGATATTTACAAATTATTTTATTGCTCTTAATATTTTTGTAAAATAAAAAGAAAATAATTATCCTATACAATAAATTATCCAATAACTTTTTTATTTTTCGAGACCGCTAGGTCAATTATTATTATTACGTTAATTTTACGATTTAAAAAGCTTATTTAGTTTAGTTTTGGTGTAACTTTCAAGTCAATTTTAGCCATTTATAAAACCAAAAATTAAATATTTAAATTTTACTAATTACTCGCAAAAACCTTACTCCGGCTACAAAACCAAACTAAATGATTTTTTGAACATTTGTACTGTTAATATATATCGATTAAAATAATCATAATAATGTTTATTGTAAATATAATCAATCCAAGATATTGTAAAAAGAAAATTTCAATTTGAAGTATTATCATAATTTTCTTTAAAAGACTTTTTTTTACCCGCTTTAGACCTTCAATAAAATATTGACCCATACCAAAAACAATATATCTTAAAGTAGAAAATCTGCCGATTATTATGCTTCTTTTTTAGAATTGAAATCTGTTCAGTAGGTTTTGAGAAAAAAATTCCGAGAGTTTGTCGATTTCGTCACTTTTTTCTCATTAAATTATAAATATCTCAGAAACGAAGCATTTTTCAAATTTTTGTCAAAGAACAAAAATTGTTTATTTTGGTCTATTCTAAATAAAACTATTTTCAAAGCCTTTCGGCGAGTAATTTTTTTACAACTTTTTTATTTATAACAATTGACTGACCACGCCGAAAAATATAAAAAAAAATATGTAA